TGCCAAACAAAGCACCACAGAAAGGATAAACTCATATTCATGGTGTCTTCATGACTGCTAAATGTTTCGCTAAAGCAGACAACTTCCTTCAAAGGTAAAAAATTAGAGACTCATATTGCTAAAACTACATTTAATCTTTCATTTATTGAACTCATAAAGGTTCTGAAATCACAACTCGATTTCACCATTTTCCATTCAAATGGAAACTTCAACTTGAAAGTGTTTATAAACACATTTTCAATTTAATTGTCAACAGATTGTATTCAATTGTATTGAATACAACAGATCGTATTCAATTACCTTAATAACATAAGTTAAACATAACTTCAGAAGAGCTTCCCAGCTCTTTTTGTTTGTTTGTTTCTTTCTTTTAATTAGCTAATTAACTTTTTTTATAGTTTTTCTCAACAGAAGACTTTGTTGTATGTTATAGCGTTATCCTCAAACTAATGTTTAGTCTCTTGAAAAGACTAGCACACCAGAATGAAACTACTACATCTTCAGAAACGTGCATTCTTAATTGTCTTTTTTTAGTCACTCAGCAAGGATTTACATAATACCACTAAATTCTGGGGAAATCAGTATTGCTCAATTTTAATGACCAACTGTATAAAGACCTATTGGCCCTAATAAAAACACTGCCAATTTTTAAGTGAAACTAGCACAACATTCAGAAAAGAAACTCTTCATTGGATATGTTATGTCTACACAAATCTGTTCTCTTCACTGAAATAAGTCTTTGAAATAGTAAAAGCCACTAGAGATAATGTATGATATTTAATCATATATTGTCCTAATGCACACAGCTATTACGTTAGCTTTCCCAACTTTATGTAAAATGAGACAAAGCTAAATTCTATTAACTATTCTTTATTTACTAAAATAATGTGTTAAAATAACAACATAATGGCTTAAATCATTAACCGTTCTTAAGAGGAAATGTCTTCTTTAAATCCACTTACACAGTTCTCACAAGGATTCAGACATTCACCAAAAGCTACGTTTACATGCAGCCTGATAATCCGTTCATAATCGAGGCCATTCAGAATACAATTTCGATCTGATTAAACGAGGTGGGTAATAATCTAGTAAATAGAACATTAATAACTATGTAAATGTAGTAAGTATATGTGAAGTATGTTTTCCTTAGTTCACCATAATTTCAGAGTAATTAAAAACACAAGCACGCCAGCTGAAAACTCAGGCAAACACACTGCTGCTCGTCTCAGGCTGGCTGGACTCACGTGATAGTTGTTGTCATGGCAACAACTATAATAAGTGGTACTCTACACATGCGCACATTTTTGGATCGGATTACTTGTAGTGTGCATGCAAACAGAGATTTTCTATCAGATGGTTGAGGAAAAGTGTGCATATAAACACCTCAGTCTTAATCTATAATAGGGATGTATTCAATCAGGTTGCCAATAATCTTTACATGTAAACACAGCCAATGTTTTTGGCATTTGGCATTTGTTCTTAGGTAAGAACAGAATCTATGCACACCCAAGAGTACAAAGGTGAACACGTCAAGAATCTGATGTAGACTTTTTCTTGGACCTTTCTCAAGAACAAATTTAAGAAACAATTTAGGAAGATCCTGGTGAGGCCCATTTATTTTAAAATGATTTTACTATAAATCTGACAGGGAACTTGTATTCCAATTGTTTTTTGATTTTGCTATCTTGTCAATAATATTAAGAGGGAACCCAAAAGCATGAACACGCTAATATGAACCTAAACTAATTTCTTTTCAACATTTTCTCATTCACTGCTACCACTCCAGAAAGCTGTACAGGGCATTACCTCACTCAGCAGGGTGCAGAGGGTGCAGCATAACTCACATTTGACTGGATAATTGCTTGTCGTGTGCATGCCAATTCTGGGTGGAGGATGTCCTTCGGAAGTTAGTCTTTTCATTGTATGCGTCACTGTAATGGCATGCTAATTTCAACAGTTTTGTTGCCGTTAAAAACAGACACTCGAGCATAAACCCGTTAACCTATAACCGCACAGATTGAGCTTAATGAATGGATGACTGTTCGTAGGCATTTTATCAACTGACATGGGATACATAGCTGATAATTTCCCATCCGTCTGAAAATCCATCTTCCTTAAGAGGAGCAGTCAGACACCAGCTGTGAGTCATTTCTGCACTTAAACCATCTCTGTAAAGTGTCTTACTTTTTTAGCAAAGTGAAACAAAGAGCACATTAAACCAACACTAAATGTTGCCAAAAACACAGTTAGAAAAACACATTCTGGTTTTCACATCACTGCTTTAATGGCTACTCCATACACTAAAACCGCTCTTTTGTATTTTGTCTGAGTACAAAATGCATTCGCCAGTGATTGAATCTCTATAAATTCTCTTAGAATCTCTAGTAAGTATTATATAGCTATTCTATAGTTTTTGATCAAATTGATCACAGCATGTTTTGAGCACAGATCTAGTTTCAAGTCATGTTGTAAGATGCTCCCAATCCAACACGAGTTCCAATTATTCTATTCAAACATGCAACTGACTTCAAGGAGGGTTGTATGTTCAGACTGCATTAGTGGTTCCCCTACCATTAAATAGACTGGGTAGCCCATCTAGCCAAACCCATGTTCTACCTGGCTATCTCAAAATCAGATACAGACATCAGGATGTATCTGGCAGGCTAGCTTCCTATATTTTTTATGTAGTACGTGCAAAATAAATCTATTTTCAAATGTATAGCTTCACTAATTTCAGATCCCAAGTCCTGCATGGATCCGGTCTTTGAAATGGCAGTATGGCAGATGTGAGCTGGCTTGTGCCAGAAGAACAGCATCAAGCTCTGTTTTTTTAGCATCTAAAAGAAGCTGTTCATCACAGAGTTTGCTTGTTCCATACAAAAAAGCAATATTTTCTGCAAACTGAAATATTAGTTTGGGTTGATATTATGGAAACATGGTGTCGTACCCCTTTCGTTATGCTGCTTGCGCTTCAGAACCTTTCCCCAAACAGATGAATCTGATGATTGCAAGCGAGTTAAGAGTATTCAAAGAGAAGCCAGATAAAACTTAGAGAAGGATGTGTCTTCCAAGGATGTAAAGGTTGATTTTGCATTTGAGACCTATTTAATAGCCAATTCTTTGGCTATTAAATAACTGGCTAAAAATTAACCCCTAACCAAACAACTGCACTTCTTAGTGTGTTACAGTGTGTTTACTGCATTTTTAAAATACTTTTGCACATATACTGCCCAGCCTACAAAAATATAGAGGAAACACTGCTGCTTTGTTAAATTAAAAAACAAACAAGTAAACAAATGGAGCAACGCCATATGAGTAGTCAGACTTTGAGTGAAAGTTAGGCAAGAACTTAGATTTTCCATTATAAAACTTGCTAAGTCAGTGAACAGTTGTAATTTTGTCTTGTACACTTTGTAACTTATTTAATTTGGGTAAGTTTGATGACCATGATTCCCAAATTCATCAAGGCACTGTAACGAACACAGTATCATTGGTAGCTCAAGTACATATTTGTCTAACAGGTCCAGTTTCACCTTAACAGCAAGCCACAGTGTATTTTATTGTGTTAGTTACACTCTGCTGTCTTGTCCTATTATACTCTGTAGTCTTGTGTACAGTGTTCTCATTTTGCACCTTGTTTTCTTGTATGGTTTGTCTCTGTGGAAAGAGCTCCTACATGTTGCACCTAGTGGAATGCTATTTCATGTCATTATATGCTGGTGCATGGATAGGATGACAGTAAGGTTCTTCATAGTTATTGACTAGATGTACTAGACTTCTCTTGACTAGAATTATTATCAGCAGAACCAACTTCCCATTCACATTTGAATGCACTGGTGGTGCAAAATGAATAGCAGTTGGCTAAAATGAATAGTCAGCTATCATACTGTCTGATGTGATGTCTCATATGGAGTGATGTCTCATATGGAGTGATCATATGAGACATACTGTGCATGGTATGACTGATACATTCAATAATGACCGAGGCAAAACCTAATAGCCAAGCAGACATACCAAGATTAAAGCCCATCATTATAGGGGCAATAATCACAAGCACTAAAACACTAAAGTAGCCATCTGATACACACTGACATACCATAGTTATTAAGCCTTGTTCATGTCCCTCTTAAAAAATGGATATTTAACCAAAGTACATCTCTTACTGGCTCTATTCATCCTTGCACATGCTCAAGCCTAAAGTGCTCTCTCTCACGGTTCAGCAGAACCTCTGCTACTTGAATGAAGCACGCTCCATGCCTGCCGCACTACATGTGAATTGGGACTATGCAGACCTCAAGCCGTTCTTACTCCTACCAGTTCTGAGCGTGACCCCGACGCTGACCAAACCTCCCATGCTTTTCGCTCGCCGCCCTGAGCAACAACAGCCCAGAGCAAACAATGCTCAGATGTTTTCCCCTGTGACATTTGCACATTATGATTCACAGCCATGCAAGGCTCTGCCTCACACTGAAGGTAGACTCACACACTAGCAGAATGCCACTAGTTGCATTCGTCCATGTGATGTGGACTGGAGGGAGGGAGGGCCAGTACACTTGGCTTGCCCATTCCTCATGAATACCACTATTAATGGGCTCCTCCTCAGCCTTTCAAAGAAACTTAGCACTAAAAACGGCGAGAAACTGCCTGCTTCTGTGTCATTAACGAGGAAGCCCTCCCTTATGATTCGTATTGACAAAACGGTCAATAAGCGATGGTCATAGGTTGACGTTCATTATGTAATTGTTTTGTATTACGATATCGATCAATCACAACGTGTGGAACCTTCTCCATCGCTTTAGTGACCTATTCGCTCTTGTGAATGAAAAAAAAACAAAAACAAAAAAACAACCACGACTGCACTGAGAGCCCAAAAGCCATCTACCACTGATTGGACGCATGCAGGAAAACAGCAGCGTCCGAACTGCTAATACACTATTTTTTTTTTTGGTTGTTTTATTTCCCACAAGGTCATCACGATGCTGCTGGCCGCACTGACTCACCGTACACTCCCTGGCAGTAAACGCCTTCCAGCATGAGCGCGATGAGCCCCAACAGACTGATAATTCCATCCATCCTTACGTGGATCTCCACATATCTAGTTCAGAAGCGAGCAGTCCGGAGAGGCGTGAACGGCGGTCAGCGCGCGCACGGATCACGCCGTAGTCCCGCGCTCATTCATTCAACGAGGCTGCGAGGATGAAGCGTTGGGATTGGACCAAAACATATAGATGCCAAGATGTCTTTTCTCTCCTCTCTCTCTCTCCTCTCTCTTTCACTCTCTCGCTCTCTCTCTCTCCCGCTCGTGAGCTCGAAGTCAGAAGAATCAGTCAGTCAGGCGTTGCAAATATACACTGGCGTCACGGAGTAGCGGCGACCCGTCTCTTCAACGCCGAGTGCAGCTCGCGCGGACAGCGGCGAGCCTCGCGCACGCCTCTCCGCCGCTGTTCTACTTCAGTCCCCTCAGACGAGGCGCCCACGCTCTCTCTCTCTCGCGATTAAGCTCCGGCTTCAGGGCCGCGGCCGTAAACTTTGTGCCGCCGCGCGCCGCTCGCGCCCGTTGCTCCTCGTTTCACAGCCGCATCCCAGGAGCAACAAGATCTCAGCTCGGGCGCGAGGAATGCGCGTGCACTCGGCGGCGCCGCGACTCCCATACAAGCTCACCGCAACGAAGGGGACAAATGAATATTAATAGTAATAACGATTAAAAAACTATAACTGAATCAGCGCACGCGGAGTGGACAAACAGCTCCGTCCAGCTCTCTCTCTTTCGCAGGCTAACGACGCGGACAGGCTGCTCGGACTGCCGATCCGTCCGGTTGCGCAATACGCGCTATGGAAACGCAGCCGGTGCTTCGCTACGTCAGGCAGTGCGTGACTTGCAGCTCTCATCTGTATGGAAGCTTGCACTCACATAGACACACATATACGCGCACGCAAGCACGCACGGACGTACGCGCGCGCATATATATATATATATTTATATATATATATATATATATACATACACACGCGCGGCGCAGCTGCTCCACCGGGGCAACACTGCACCAGTATACAGCCATAAAGGCCAATCACATCACCATGGGCTTCATCTCTTCTTTTATGACTGCTGCTGACTTAAGGCCTCCGTCTCGAGCTCACCTCCTAAAGGGAGTTTGGGGCTTCATTCAGAACATTCAGAGTGCACGCGGGTGTGATAGTAAGCATGAGACCAGGGCAGAGACTATGACTAACATGATGGATGTAAAACCAACATACAGACGTGCATAGGGGAACAGCAGGTCCAGATAATGACGCACGAATAGTTTATATATTAAAAAAAAAAAGTATCCCCACTTTTTCCCCTAACGGTCCAGTGCTTCAAATCAGTTCAGTGCATGGATAGTGTAACGTATCCTGCTGAATATGTTCCCTTAGGCTACGTCTCAGAACAAGGCAATACAATAAAGGTTCTCGATCTAGGTTTTATTTGATTAATGTTTCTTCTCTCATTATTAGTATAGGCACGTTCTGAGAGGCGAACAAGGCAGTAAAACAACGCCCCCTATTGACGCGCGCGTAGTTAAAAAGGTAAGACCTGAATCAAGTTTGAGAGCAGGTCAGGAGTTCTGATGATTAATATTTATTGTATTTTTTTGCATGAGTAAATTACCAGCAGTTTTGAATCATTATCATTATCATTGTCACTTATTGTCACCAGACACCCCTTACAATTTGTAAATTTAGCTGCTTTAAGGTGCATAATTTCCATAGAAAAGCTTTGCCAAAAGCTTTTTTTCCAGCAGCTGCACATGAGCATAAGGTCACCATGCCCAATGTCGAATATCAGCTGGTGGATATAAAGCCCCCAACACTGGACAGTGGAGCAGCGGAACTACATTCTCTTGAGTAATGGAGCTCCATCCAACACCTTTGGGATGAGTTGGAGTGGCATTTGTGATCCAGAACTGATCATCTAACATCAGTACCTGACCTCACTAATGGTCTAGTTGCTAAATGCGATCAGATCCTCACAGCAATGTTCCAACATCCAGTATAAAGCCTTCCCAGAAAAGTAGAGGCTGTCAGCGCAGCAAACAGACACACAAAATCCTGGAGAAAAAACACTGAATGAGCAGAAGTCTACAAACTTTTGGTGATGCAGTACATGCTCCTTTGAAGACTATAGGACATTTAGTAAGAATATTTACTCTAGTTAAATATTTACTTTTTCTAGTTCTGTAGAACAGAGGAGAAGAGATTATAGAAAAAATGCTTTTGTTTTTTGCTATTTCCTTATTTCCAAATTGCCTTCCACCCAATGACTGCTGGGATAGGTTCCCCCCTTATTTCCAAATTATGTAAATATGTATTTTGTTTAATATTTTTCTTGATTCCTGTTCACATCACAATGGGCCAGTGAGTATGCATGCACATGTGTGAGTGTGTGCCACTGCACTTGTTTGAGAGTTAAACTCCCATCTGTCTGATGCTGATCATTCGCTCTTTGTTTGTCCTTTACAGTAATCCATCCCATATAGACAGAAGCAGCCCTGCGTGAGGGAGGATCACAGTTAAAGCTCCATCTGTCTAACACAGATTATCTTCTCCTTTCGTTCCCTCTCACTGCTTTCACACCATCAGCCAAAGACATTAAATACCTGGCACGACTGTGTCTGTTCAGCCCTCTCAGATTACACCCCACTACCATTAAACTGAACAAATACCTGGAGCTGGAAGAACTGTGATCATGTGACAGGACAATTTCTTAATGAAATCAAGGTTAATCCCAAATTACACTCTTAAATGCAAAGGTTAATAAACAGTTTCTGGCTTTTATAAGCAGACATGAGAAAATTACTTATGGGTACAGAACCTTTTCATTGTGTGGATGCTCTTTAAGCTTTAAAAAGGTTCTTCACACTCACCTCTGTTGCAAAAATAATAGTTTAAGTAGAACTGGAAGTGGGTCTTCTATGACATGACACCCAAGAACCCTGTATTTTTAAAGTGGATTCTGAAATGATACAGATTTTTCAAAATTTCTGCATGATGAAACGAGATGTAAATAGTCATTCAGTCATTCAGACTGGTTTGATTAGAAATACTCCATTCTAGATCCACAATACTTCACACAGGTGGAATTTTCACAATAGTTTACTTGTCAGAGACCACCCTTTCATTTGTTTTATTTCCAGTCCAAACAGCCACCCAGTACAAGTAACTAATTTTTCAGTATCAGGAAAAGAGCAGAAAAAAATATTTTAGAAGCCTCTGTAAAGAAATGTGTTTTTTTCTGTATGTGTCCACCCTTTGCCTTCATTTCAGCTTTCATTCCTTTCAGGCGTTTTGCTTTCAGCTTTTCAAAGAAATCTACAGGGATATTTTTTTACACCTCCAAAGTTCAGTCTTAGAAGTTAGTTGCAGTTTCTCAGGGGTAGTGTAATGGGGACGGGGTGGGCATTAGGATGATTTAAGAGCCTGTAACTGTGACTGACAGGGGCCCTAAAAATATTAGAACATTAGGTATTTACAAGACTAACAGTTTCCTTTTCTTTTCTAGTTTCAGGCAAAACATAAGCATCCAGAGAGCTGATGTATTGCATGTTAATGTTAGTTAATTATGAAGCCTCAGGCAATGGTTTAAAATAGCCAGCTGGCTATCAGTTAGGTTGCCAAGCTAGGGTTAAATTACATTTAAACTATAAATGATGGCCTTTAGCACATTTCTTATAGAGGGTGTGACTGATACTATATCAGTCTTACATCAAATAGTGAATTTCACTGTATGCAGAATGTTCCATGCATGTCTGCACAGTGTTGTACTGGCGTGGCCTGTGCTGGTGGGGCCCAATGTGATATCTTTTCTTGGGGCTCAAAATCCCTGGCGGTGCTCCTGCCTTTTCTGTTTATCATGATCCAAGTCATCCTTATTATAAATCTAGACAGTTTCATTTTCAATGTTCTACTGCAAATGTTTTTCTTTTTTGTCTATTTTCTTTTCTATACAACATGCAATATTTGTATGTTTTATGTCTGTCTGTACTGTCTAGTATGTCTATGTGGAGTTGCCTTTAATGTTATATTTATGTATATTTTTGCACATCAGAGTTGGAGAAATGCAATCTCGTTCAGCTGTGCACTGCTTGTTGTATAGTCTGAATGACAATAAAGTTCACTTTGACTTTGACTTTAACTTTTCTCAGTAACAGCTTCTTAACTACACCACCTTCTTAGCTACACATCCTTTCAGACCTATAGTGTTGAGCTGCCTTCTCACAGTGGAAGGATGGATGTAAAGCAAGAGTGGAGTTGATTTTCTCCTGTCTCTAAAAGAAGAAATGTACTCTTTATCTGACAGTGACAGTTTTTGGTGGTCTATCAGGTCTTGCATGGTTGTTAGGAGTCCCGTTATCTCTCTTTTAAGCAATTTTTTTAACTCCAGCTTTGGAAACTGGATTGTATTATATCTATTCTCTTAAGAAATGTCTCCTGAAAAATGAAAAGCTCATACTTGACCGTTTTGACTGGAAATTAAATAAACCAAAGGGTGGTATCTGTCTTTTGCAGAAACTCAGAAATATGAGTCTCATTGATTGAAAAATTAGTGGAACCCTCCTAAAGTATGAATATGTAAGCAAAGTGCATTTCCAAAGCTCTGAATGCATCATAAGACACTGCTTTGAATGTATCACTGTTAAATGAATATTGGTAATTGTATGGCTTGTGCACCCATGGGACTTCTCGAATTCCATGGAGAGGTCTCACTGCATTCAAGTGTTTTCCAACCCATCAGAGCTACAGTAATGAACATTAGCCTGCCTGACTTTCAGCGGTAAGCTTCTTGTTGCTCCATTGCTATTGTCAAAATCACTGCTCAAATGTGGCATTTGAGGGGAATGATTACTTTGAACTTCTATCTGTTCAACAAGAGAGTCTTTGTTCACTCTCGCTGGGGAGTTGTTCAGATTGGAATGACACGGTCTCGACGCACACACTCAAAGCACTTTGATAGTTCCAACCTTCTGCAATTACCTTTTCTCCTGCGGTGAGTTTTTGGGTTTGGGGTATTCTTTATCATGGGCAGTTCTGAGGCTACAACAAAGGAAATCACTAGAAAAGGCTACGCCGTGGTAAATGTTTTACATTTTCAAACAATTGCAAACAATTACACACAATTACAGACAATTTGTAATGAGTTCACTGGCCAAACATAATTTATTCCAGAGAATAGGAGGGCAGCCACTAACATCCTGCAGGCTCTTAGCGAGTG